CAGGTATCTGAGCCTTTCATCTCGTTTCGTTTTTTTTTTTTTCAAATGAGTTCATTTTACCATTTTGTTCTACTTTTTTTCAAATGTTATAGTGTTTATTTTGTAAAACAACAAAAAGCAGACTTTTGCCATTATCAACTCACACATACCGTATATTCAATAATTTTAATACTAAAGGAGGTAATGACCATGCAACCAAGACTCGCTCTGGGAAGGTGGGTTAAGTTGCAGTCCTCAATATCCAGTGATAATGGGATAGTGCACTTATTGAGCGCAGCTTCAGGACTCTTTCGGTGTGTTAACGTTTGTAATAGTGTTTTATCGCAATTGAATGTTTTTGCCAGCGCTAACATGGTAGACAGATCCAGTGGCATCTGTCTCAATCTCCTCTCGTGTACCTTGTTGTTGAGGAGCTAGTTGTATTAAACTGTCGCGAGATACTTAATGTTTCGAATAACCTAATCTTAACATCAATTTTGTCTTCTTCTAGTGTTCCATCACATAAGTCTTTTTTATTATATCAATTTACAAAAAACCTGGTCTATTTAATTCATTATCTATTTTTTTCCGCCGCGTATGGATTGTCATTCAATACAGCTTAATTGCGAAAGCATCAACAATCCCCTTTGTTCGCGAATTCTTTATATACCTACTTATTCTGCAGGAGCCATTGATGTGATCGTTGTGGAACAACCGGATGGCGAGTACAAATCCACACCGTTTCATGTGCGATTTGGTAAATACGGGGTTTTCAGTCACAGCGACAAGGTGCTTTTATAACTCCTTTTGCATAATTCAATTATCTTCATTGTATTTTTTATAGTACGTTGATATTCAAATCAATGGTGAAGAAATTGATTTGAAAATGAAACTTGGTGAAAGTGGAGTTGCGTTCTTTGTTGAAGAAGCGGACGGCCACCAAATCCCATCCTATATGCTGACGTCGCCACTGCCTGAGCCAGGCACTCCACAGCAGCAGACCATTGAGGAGGTACGAGCCTTAAATCTATTGGCTTTACATGTTGATCACCCATGAGTTTCAAGGTCTTGACAGAAAGCGCCAAGATTTTGGGTGAAAAGAACACGGGGTCGGAAGAGCGGAAGAAAAGCATAGTAAAGGAGCCAGTTGGTCCTGACACCCCTAGAAATACTCAGGAGGGAAAGCAAGAGTGGGTAGAACTGTTCATAGATCTTGTGCTGCTTAAGTACCTAAAGACTTGAAAGAATCTTTTGAAAGGTGCAATCATGTTTTA